CAGAACAGTAGAGAAAGGTTGATCTTTTCAATAAATGGTGCCAAGTCAATTGGAAATTCATTGGGAAAAAAATGAAAGTTGACCCATACAAAAATCAATTCCAGTAGGATTGCAGATCTTAATGTAAAAGACAAAACAAAAAGGCTTCTAGAAGATAACATTGGAGAATATATTCATGACTTGGTGTAGGCAAAGATTTCTTAAGCAGGACCAAAACACATTAACCATAAAGGAAAATATAGATAAACTGGACTACATTAAAAATAAGAACTTCTGTTCATGAAAAGGCACTATCAAGAGAGTGAAAAGGCTGTTCACCTGAAACTAACACAATATTGTAAATCAACTATACTTCAATTTAAAAAAAGAGTGAAAAGGCAAACCACAGAATTGGAAAAGGTATTTTCAATGTCAATAATTGACAAAAAAACCCTAAATATAAGCCTAGCATATCAGAAAAAAACATATATTGATAAGGAAAAAGAGAGATAACCCAATTTTAAAACGAGAAGCGGGAGAGAGACATAAACAGACACTTCATTAAAGAGAATATCTAAATGGTCAATAAACATGAAAAGGCACTCAACTTCACTGGTCATCTGGGAAATGCAAAGTAAAACTACAATGAGACATCACTTTACACACACAAGAGTAATATTTTTTTTAAAAGACTACACCAAGTGTTGGTAAGGAGATAAGTAAGAATTCTCATTTACTACTGGTGGAAATATAAATTAGTATGACCATTCTGGAAAATTCTTTGGCAATATCTGCTAGTGCTAAACATATGCATATCTTTTAACCAAGTAATTCTACTCCTACATATTGCCCAACAGAAATGCAAGCACATGTACACCGAGACATATACAAGAATTTCACAGCAGCATTATTAATAATAGCTCAAAACTGAGAGCAATTCAAATGCCCATCAATAGTAAAATGAATCAATAAATTGTGACATGGTCACACATTGGAATAGGACACAGAAATGAAAAAGCAACAAACTACTGCACAGTATGGTTGAATCTCACAAATTATTGGGTGAAAGAAGCTAGACGTAAATGAGTGTTTACTGAATGATTCCATTGGTATAAATATAAATAATCTATGGTATTAGAAGTCAGGCTAGTGGTTACTCTCTGGAGGGTTTAGAGGATGGAAAATGATATACGTGCTGGTCAAACTGTACATGTTTCTAAACATATGTTATACTTAAATGAACTTAGTTAATTAAAAGAAAAATGAACAAAAGAGATAGGCCCCATTTGAGTTTTTTAGAGTATCCTGAGCGGGGTTAGAATAAAAAGAGCACTTGGGCTACAAGTGAGAGTGTGAGAAAACCCGACAGTAATGAAACAGGAGACTGGGAACCATGGAGGAAAGACAGCCAACGAGAAATTCACAGTAGCTGGATTCCTTAAGTGTTTTTAAAGAACAGAGTATTTAATATTCATTTTTAAGTTGTTTTCTGTGCTGTGATTTGCTCTAACCCCTCTATGACCCCATCACACACACACCCTGCAAATTTACTGCTCTCAAACCATCAGTAAACTTTACAACATCTTTAAAACATAGTAAAGCAGGATAAATAAACAGTGATGAAGAGGGGTGAAAGAGAGGCTATGCTATTAGAGGACAGGAATCCCAAAGGAAGGTCTCTCTGAAAAGGTAACACTTAGAATTGAGAGCAAAAGAAGTTAGGGAGAAGAGTGCTCCAGACTGAGAAAAGTAAATGCAGAGACCCCAAGGCAGGATATGCTGGGCACATCCAAAAACCAGTAAAGGAACCAGTGTGTATGGGGCCAAGAAAGATTGTAGGAGATGACATCATAGAAATAGCGAGGGGCCAGATAATGCTGGTCTCCATGGGGCATGGATTTACTCAGGTTTTACTCTGAGAGAGACAGGAAGCCATTACAGACAAGGTTTTTGAGCAGAGAAATTACATATCCAGTTGTTTCAAATCTATCAATCCAGTTGCTGTGTGAAGAATAGACTATAGAGATATCCGCAAGGGTGGATGAAGGACCAGTTAGAAGGTTTTCTAAGAGTAAGATCAAGCTGGCTTAGAGAAACTGGTAGTGGTGAAGGTGGAGAAAAGAGTTTGATTCTGGATGTATTTGGAAATCAGAGCCAGCAAGACTTGCAGATGGACTGGATATGGAGTGTGAGGGAAAGAAAGGTATCACGAATGCCTCAGGAAAGAACCTCCTAACCCAAAGAGCTGTCTGACAGTTAGATGAGCTTTCCCTTGATGCAGTTATCTGAGTGGAAGCAGTTATTCCTTCATGGGGCCTTCTGAATGCTCTTCTCCCTCCAGCTCACCTGCCAAACAAGCTCCTAAGAGGATCTCTGCCCTTTGAGGCAATGGACCTAGGTGACCTCTAAGATAGCTCATGTGCAAAGTATTCTAGAACTTTAAGGCAGTCAGAACGTGGTCTATACATCATCAATTTTAGGCTAAATGGTTGCGAAGTAAATTTCCTAAACCAAAGTAACTTTTTAACTGCTATTTACCTTTTTCCCCACACACATATTTTTATTCCAGTCAAAACGGGTTACAGTGAACAGCAGAAGCGCTGCTTTTGGGTAAGCAGATACCACAAAAGCCTGGAGCTGGGAGATGCTCATGTGTGGAAGGAAGGAGCAACTCCATCCTCTTGGCCCTTGGGGATGGTTATGAATACAGGCTACTCAAAAGAAAGTGTAATTAGAGAGTAGATAATTGAATTGTAAACAAGCATCCTAACATTTTCAAGTGCTCCATAAATTATACAGTTGGCACAGTGGTGCAGCTATTGCTCAAAGCTCACTTGGAACTCTTCTTTGGGATTTGTCCTCAAAGGAAGTTAATGTAACTTACTCCAAAATCCAGTCTTTGAGGTGGTCAGATCCCTGGGAAGTTCTGCTTTCAAAAATCTCAGATTCTGGTTCGCAGGAACTATAAAGCTTCTAGCCTATCTGGTGTTTGACCTCTCAAGGCATCATTCATGACAAACAGGCATCTAACCTCTGCTTCAACCCCAGAGTGAGGGAAATGTGGTTAACACCCCCAAGGCAGCCCTTTTTCATCTTCCTAGACAGCTCTGATTGTCAGAAAGTTCTCATTCATTTTGAACTGAAACCCACCTCACCATACCTTGCACCCACTGATTATAACAGAGTGTAGGGCAGTATTTCCCAAACATCAAACACCTGTGTACCACCTCCACATTTTGTCATTTTTACCATATCTATGTATCACTGGTCCTATTAGGTCCTTAATATCTCCCTTTCAAATTACCCAATTTTCTTAGCCAAGTAATTTTGCCTTAAATGGAAACTACATCACCTTGTAAGTGAAAACCTCACACCAATTACAAATTAACAGCATAAGGGATAATATCAGAAGGAAGAGAAAGTGATGATGTTAAATTCTACTCAGGAACTGTTGCCTGGCAAGAGTGCTGCTCCTGAGGCAGGCTCTCGCTTTGTTAGAACAGGAGATTAGCAAGTGTTGAGAGGTGTAAAGACAAAGCACCACAGAAATGATACTTCTTTCTTAACATTCATAGGTTCAAGAGAATTGAAGAAAGCATAACTTTTTTCACCATGTGATCCACTGTTATTTAACATTGTCTGCGTACCACTCAAAAGCACTGCCTATACTTCTAGTGGGAGATGTACACACTGGGACCCACTGGCAAAGCAGCTTGGCAGTGGTCAACCTGATCAGATTCAGGTCATTGTTCTGCCATTTTCTAGCTGCCCAATCCTATACACCTTAACCAGTTTCTTCATCTTCAAAGTGGAAGTAACAATAGCTCTTCAGAGTGATGTTTTCTTAAAGACATTTGAATATTTTGCTCCAGTTGTAAGTTGATGATTGAAGAGTATAAATTCAGGCTAAGATTGCAGTGTCATTCAGCTTTTGGGCTGAATTAATTCAGCCTTTGGGCACTGACCAGGCTGTGCTGGTAGCCAACTAAAATCTCTAAGATAGTTTGATATGGACTGCTGCTGAGCCAAATCCCCCACTGTGAACTTGTATTGCTGGGCAATTGGGCCTGAGGGAGGACTAGGCATTTATTCTTATTAACTAGATTCTCCCCTTCACTTTAACCTGGTGCTTCAACATTTGTTCAACTCCTTCTCTTACCCTACATTTGAAGAGAAGGAGGTCAGCAGAACTGGGCTAGGATGAGGATGTATTTGTGATTCTAGATGTATCTGTTCTTCTGGAGTAGGAAAATGGAAACTTTTTGCTGAGTTCCCATTAGGTATCAGGCACTTTTCTCCAATAACTTATTTAATGCTCCAAGAACCCCTTAAGGTAGGTGTTAACCCCATTTTACTGAGAAGAAATCTGCATTTTCACTTGAAGTTGTTAAGCATGGTAACTATGCAATTTCTTACTCTTTTGGCTTAATATTATTTTGTAAACACTTTATCACATTGCTTCATATTTTCCTTTTTTTTTTTTTTTGCTTTATAAGTAAATAAATACTCCCTCCTTGTTCTAAAAACATTTTGAGGCACTCCTGCCTTGATGTTTCTCATTTTAACGATTGTATAATATCTCATTCAGTTACCCTACCATAATTTATTTTACCAATTTCCTATTGTTGACAGTTTGATTTTGTTTCTTTGCTTTTTGTGGGGTTTTTTTTTTATTGTTTTCTGTAATAAAAGATCCTGCTACAAACATCTGCACATAAGTATTATTTTGTTCCAGAAATTTCTCCAAGAATGGAATTAATGCATCAAAGAGGATAACAACTTTTGTGGCTCTTTATAGAGACTAGCAAATTGCTCACCCAAAGGAGTATGTGTTATTTGAGGATAAAAAGAAATAACTGGCTGTTTACAAAAGAAATCAATTTTCCACTTATTCATAAAGTATTCGATCCCCTGATAGGTGGCAGGTGCCGTGCCAGGGACTGAGTACAGGGATGAGCAGGGCAGGCCGAGTCGCGGTCTTCAAGGAGAGCACGGTCAGGTCGGGCAGAGGAAACGACACGCAACAGGTGTCTGCCTCTAACCAGGGAGGGCCGAAGTGCCCTTTCGCGCAAGAGAGTGGAAGGAGGGAGCTGTTTGCAAGCACCGAGGAGATCTCGCAACGTAGGCAGCACCTGACCTGAGTCTTGCAGAATGAGTAAGAATTTTGGTACGCGATTTGTATTTATTTTACGGTGACTTTCTGGCCTTTTATCGGAAAAAGAAGTTTCCCACTCTTAGCACTGAGCACAGAGAACGTTGGAGGAGTCGTAGGCCCCCAACCTCTTAAGCCTCTTTCCATCTCCAAGGAGGAGGAGGAAAGTGGGGGGTCTCTCCAACCTCCGGAGCAGGATCTGGGGTCCGGGACCTCCCAGCGCGGCACCGGAAAGAACAGGAGAGGACGCGAGCGCGGGGTCCGCCGCCCCGAGAACCAGACCCGACGCGTGGCCCTCGGCGCCTGGCTCCAGCGGAGTCAGCTCAGCACGACCTGGGAAGCCGGTGAGGGAAACGGAGCTGCCCGGGGTGGAGGGCTGAAGAGCAGCCCGCGAGCGGCTCCGAGGGGAGCTGGACTCGGCAGTCGGGGACCCCGAGGGGGCGGGAGCGGGAGAGGGGCGGAGCTCCGAGGCCGGGGCAGCGGCTGCAGCCCAGAGGGTCTGTGGGGGCTGCTTTGGACATATCCGAGGACGAGCGCTTCTCCGAGACCGTGACCTTGGCTTCGGGAGCCGACCCCGCGCGCCGTCTTGAGCGCGCCTTGTGGAAACCCACGGCCGACGGGCCAGCGCTGCCCGCGGTGAGGCAGCCCGGGCCGGGGCGCCAGGTAACCTGGACCACCGGCCGCGAGGGCGGTCAGAAAGGGCCCCAGTGGGGGAGGGGCAGTGACGGGGCTGGGGGCCGCGGGCTGGGGGCTAAGCGAAGGGCGCACGCTGGAGCAGCTCAGGCCTCGGAACACTGGGCGTGGGGCGTGGGGGAAGTCAGGGTCCACCTTACCGGACCAAGGGCTCACCGGTCCTCAGAAGGGGCAGTGGGTCGCCCTCGCGGATGAACGGGAGTGCGCACGAAGACGCGGCTTCTGGGTAGCGTCTTGTGCCTCCGCCTTGTTTCTGCCCGTGATACAATCAGAAAGTATTCCCTTTCCGTGTGTTAATGAGAGAACGGGCAGTTTTCTAGTGTGTGTGCATATGGAAGGCTACAGCGTCAGCACCCATCCTCCTGGGCCATGAGTCCCCGAGCAGGATCCTTGGCCCAAGCCTCCAGCTGCCTTGGGGACCTTGTCTCAGTGACACCAAACTAAGGTGTCAGTCCCAGGGCTTTATCACCAGCCGCTATATTCCTTGGGGAGAAAAAAGAAGTACCAGTTTGATGGAATCTTTTATTATTTTTTAATCAATAAATTATAGTTTAAATAGATGATTTTTTAAAAAATCAAATAATGCAAGTTTAACTTCTAGAGATATTCCTATACTTGTATTTGTGTCTATTTATACCTTCCTTGTTTTTTACCCATATCTTTTTCAACTCTACTTCTTCTGTCCCCTCCCTTTGATTCGTTATCTCGCCTCCTGCCTAATGAAAGTACCAAAAGAAAATGACGTCACCGCCACTGGCCGCATCCCTTAATCTCCTGGGTTCCTCGCTGGTCCCACCCCTGCTCTCTTCAAAAGTCTTTCACCCGGGTGGCCCTTGGGGTAGGGAGCCCACTCCCGAGAGGACATTTCTTTTACTTGTCTTAACTCTCCCAGAGATTCAAAGAAAGGAGCTTTGGGAAAGAGCCCCTGATGAATTCTGTACTACCTGTTCTTTCCCTTAAACTGGACTTTGCAAATGCAGTTTAAGTAGAGTCTGGTACTGAGGAAAATTAATGAAGGAAATTTCCTAAAGTGTTCTAGATTTCCAGAAATTAACACTTCACTAGTTCCTATTCCTGAAAGCAGAACTTTGCCAGTCACACTTCCCATTTTCTCTGCTGCCTTCACCTAGGACCAGCAAAGTAACAGGAATAGGATTTCTCATCAGTAGGAATCTCATAGGGTGGATGTTTTATATTTGTGAAGGGGCTCAGGGACATACCTTTGCGGTAGACAAGGCGGGAGGGGAAGATATAGAAGAAGGAGTTAGAGGGGATCAGGGGATTAGAAAGAGAGGAGCAGGCCAAGACCCTTAAGAGGAGAAGAATCCTGGAAGCGGGGCCCTGTCATTTAGGAACAACCTCTAGATAATTTGGCTAGCAGACCACACATGCAGCTTACTTCTTGCCATCAACCAGCACAATCAACTACTTTCCAAGACTTTTTCTATGCAAGGCCAAAACATACTGAGAAGTGGGGAAAAAAATCAGCAAATTAACCCACTTTTGTCTATGTGATAAAATAGAAGTGGCTTAAATTATTTTTCCTGAATTAATAGGGTTTTTTAGGAGTTGTGTAGACTGTTTAAAATAACCTAATAGCTACTCCAGTCACTACATTTTCCTTTGCTCTGTTCATTTTTTCATGTTGCATGACCTTGACCTGCATCCCACACAGTTCAGGAAGTTCAGGTTGGTTAGAAGCTGCCACTTCTAAGAGCCTTTTTAAATGAAGGATTGGGAGAGGAGAGGATTGGAAAATAAGGACTGAGCCTTGTGGTAGGGTAGGGGAATAATGAAGAGGGATGCACTGAGTACCAGCTTGAGACTGGTAAGGAATCGGGTATAATTCTTAGAACAAGGCAATAATGAGTAAGTAAGACGTGAAGGACTCATTCATCATTCATTCGTTCATTCAGAATGTTTGCAGAATGCCTGGCTATGTACCAATCACTGGGAGAAAAATGATGAATAAAACCAGGCAAGGTCTCTGATCTCCTGGAGTTTACAGATGCTTTGGGGAGGCCACCATTAGTAAAATAACTGAGTATTGAATATGTAATTACAAACTAAGATAAGCTTTCTTTTTTTTTTAAGCTTTCCTTCTTTTTTTCATTATTATTTTATTTTATTTATTTATTTTGATTGCGCCAGGTCTTAGTTGCGGCTCACGGCCTGCATAGTGGCATGCAAACTCTTAGTTGCGGCATGCATGTGGGATCTAGTTCCCTGACCAGGGATCAAGACCCGCGTCCCCTGAGTTGGAAGGCAGATTCTTAACCACTGCGCCACCAGAGAAGTCCCTAAGATAAGCTTTCTAAAGGAAAGAAATAAAGGTCTTTGAGGGTGTATACAGACTGTCCTCTGAGATCAGGGAAGGCTTTCTCAAGGAGGTTTCCCTTGAGCTGAGGTTCAAGGGTAGGTGGGAATGTTGGGGATATATATGGCTTTGAGGTAGGACCAGAATGTATCAGTTAGGAATTCCATTTGGCTGCCAGTAATCAAGAAGCCAGGTGTACTGTTTGCAATACTGCATATGCACACATGTAGAGTTGGAATTTCTGGAATTTGGGGCAAGGATGCTTTGTTATCACAGCATTGTTTGTACTGCCCTGAGTTGGTCATGGTTTTCCATTATTGTTGTTCTTGCTTCTAAATTAAATGTTTAGATTAATTTTATTCTTGTCAGTTTAGTTTATTGCGCACAATAAAATGTGTGCATTGTGGTTCAAATGTGAATCATCCATATTTCCACTGCTAAGGTAGATATGTACATAACTCCTATACCAAATTTGGCTTGTATGGTGATAGCTCATTGTTGTCACTGAATACTTTCCCAGGTGAAAACAGGTGTGGCAGGTCAGCTACAGTGTCTTCTCTCCACCCCATCCACTGCTCTAGTACCTCTTCAAAGTTTCATATACAGTCGTTAGGTAAAGAAAAAATTACTAATTGCATTGACGCTGTAAGTAAAATTAACATAAATCTCACAATATAGTGGCATGGTGAGTTTTGACCAAGCATCATATTTCATGCGCAAATATTTTTATTCATTCAACAATGTTTACAGTGAACTTTCAATATGCCTAGCACTCTGTTAGATACTGTGGGTAAAATGGATTAGTAAGATTCAGTCCCAGCATTTAAGGAATTCACAGAAGTGTAAGAGGAGAGAGTCATACTTAATCTATGTAAGGGTAGGAAAGCATTGTGGTTGCTAGAATGGAAGCATAACTAAAGTACAGTGATGCACAAGGAAGGGGAGTGGTCAATTCTACTAGAAAAGGAGAGGAGGGGTCCAGAAAAGGTTCATGGAAGAGTTAATACTTGAGCTGAATCTTGAAAGATGAGACATACCACGAGATAGACAAAGGGGAGAAGGCATTATAGAAGAGGGATCCATGTGCCCAAACAAAGACACGCATGAAACAGAGTGTCAAGGTCGAGGACCTGCAAGTGTCTCAAAGAGCTGAAGCATAAAGAGCAAAGAGGGTCTCATGAAGAGATAAGGCTGGAGTGGCGGGCAGGCCAGGTCACAGAACCTGCATGCCATCACACCGATAGCATTGTGATTAAAGTATGTGCTCTGAGGTCAGACAGTCCCAGGTATGAGTCATGGTTCTGCCATTTTCTAGCTGTGGGGCCTTGGTCAAGTCACTTAGCCTCAATAAGTAATGGTAACGAAGGTTGTATCTCTCTCATAAAGTTGCTGCAAGAACTGAATTAAGTCATGGAGTACCTGGCACTTTATGCACCCACTTGTTGTTGGCTGTTATTTTCATTTTTTATCCTGCGGCAAAGGGAGCCACTGTTGGGTTTTACGTAGAGAAGTGACTTAGTGAGCATTTTTGTTTAGAGCGCTGTCATTCTGGCTGCATGTGGATGCTGGGTTAATGGGGGGTAAGTTTGGAGGAGAGCAACCATTTAAAGAGATTATAACCATTCAGATGTTGGTGATGATGACCTGAACCATGGTGGCCATGGGCATGGAGAAAAGGAGACAAGTGCTTGAGATGTCTGCAAGGTAAATACCACAGAACTCAATTACTCATTAGCTGTGATAAATGGGATTCTGGTCTGTCATCCTTTGGTACTGTCATCCAAGTGTTCTTAGGATAAACAAAAGGAAGCCAGGTGTCAAGCAGAACTGGGGATCAGATATTTAGGAAGTGCTTATATACTGAGGACTCAGTGATTGGTACCAAAAAAAAGCTGCCTTTCTAATTTAGGAGACCCCTTGACAATTTCCATCTCATAACATTAAATAGGATCAGGAAAGTCTAGTTCATCCATAACAAATTTCATTAATTCAT